AAAACCCTCCCCCCCCCCCCCCCACCCCCACACCAAAAAATCTAGAAACCACAACCATGACTCTAACCAACAAAACCAAAACTAACACCTCACCGCCACCGCCACTTCCACCAACGTCCTGAAGCACCACCACCACCACTCCAACAATCCACTACACTAGCATCACTGCTAGCACCAGCAGTCGCCCAAAGTGTCTCACCACCAACAAGGTCCCTAGCTTCACTCCGTCAATGTCGTCTCTAACTGCTATGAATTATCGAACTGTACCATAGAGCCCCTACGATCGGGATCATCACCGCCAAATCCACCATCATTGCCAGCATCTCCATCTGCACCACAAAAATCAGCCCAAACCCCCCAACAACACTCAAATATTGAAACCAACACTACCACTCCAACGACTAAAACCAAAACAAACACATCATCGCCATTGCCAAATCCACCACCACATATACCATTACCACCGTAACCTAACACCGCACTAGCAGTACCAGCAGCCGAGGTCTCCATCAATGTTGCACCATAGAGCCTCCTACCAAACTGCAACAACAACAGGGACAATGGGGCTCCGACGACGGGCACTCCTCGACGACAATGGTGTTTGAGGGAGGGGGTAGAGAGATGGGAGTAAAGAGAGAAGTAAAGAGAGAATGGAAAGGAGATGAGAGAAAATTTTAATGGGTTTATTGGGTAGAGTGTGTATATAAATTAATTTATGAAAAATGCCGGGCTCCGATCCAGGGGCTGAGGTGTCGAAATCTCAGCCGTGGTGTAAAGGGATGCGAGCCCCATGTATTAAAGATCAAGGGCATAGGCATGCGCCACCTCGACCCTGGAACGGAGCCCAGGATTTAATCCCAGGCTCTGTAGCATCACTCTTAATTTATAATGTTATTATGAATATTAAAATATTGATTTATAATATTTTAATTAATCTCTGATTTTTGTATAAATAAATTTTAAATCTGATTTTTGGAAAAAATCTGGTTGTCTGTAATTTTCACAATAAAAAAAGAAATGGTTTCATCACTTAGGGCCATTTGGGCTATTGTTACCTGTTTGGACTCTTTTTTCCTTTCGGCTGATCTTAGTTGGAATTGGGATTTGAAGCCCTTTTTTATATTAGCAACAATTGTTGGTCCGAATATTTTCTATTTTTAGCTTTAACATTTAACATGGAGAATTGAACTAGCATTGAACAATAATCCATTCGACTATTCCTTAAACTGTTCGAACAGTCATAGTAAGTCCAATTTAATTCTACTAGGTAAATTTACATTGTTTACTCTTTTAACATTATTTAACAAAAAACTCCACCTTTTAATTAGTATAATGATGTTTGTGTAGGAGACACATAATTTAGTTGAAAAGAACCCCATCTTAAATAGTAATTATGAAACATTAGTATTACAGAAATTTGCAGTTGAGGTCACCAGACGTTACACCTTATAGTACATGTGTCACCAATGTTTATGCCTAGTCATTGAGCGTTCGTGATATGATGAAAATTAAAGGTCGACTATGGCACGTGTTAGTATCAATTACCAATTTTTTAATGGGTGATGACAGAGCGACTGATGATATAATGATTTGATAAATTCAATGACTGGTCAAAATCATTTTAATATTCAATAATTATTAACAAATATTGTAAAAAGTATAGAAGTTATCTGTGCATTTAACCTTTGATCTATAAATCTCCCAATTATTTTTGTGTTTGTGCGGCCTTTTGCTTTTCCTTTAGGTGGAATCCTGTCTCTGATAATCACTCAAGTTTTCAAAATTAAGGTTGATAGGTCAAAATCAAGTCAGACATTAAAATTAAAAAATCCCTAATTTTTGTCAAATCATTTGATGATTTTACAACCCCAAATGGTCGACTTGTACAATTTATTGTTTGGTTCCAAAAACATCACACACGTTGAATTATATTGAACGGATAACGAAGAAATATTTTTTTTTCTTTTTTATTTTAATTAATTTCGTTTTATTCATTATGTCAAAATGTCAAAATTTAAGAGCACGCTAATGATAGATTGGACCTACGATTTTTTTTAAAGGAACAAAAAACAAAATTAACATTGTTAGGGCTTTGATTGCTATAATTATATCAACCCTGCTACATTGATCGAAATCGACTAACCAAAACCTTGATCGAACACTCATAATGGGGTGGGGGGGGGGGGCCAATTTTTTGAAATTTTTCATTCTCGTGAGTTCCACCCGCATGTGAGAGGATGTCAAGGCTTCAGGCATTTTCGATCAACTCAGCTTTATTCTAATTATATTTCTAGCCCTTATTTGATCCTCATTCTTTTGAAAAATGCATTTTTTCAACAATATTTTAATATCATTTCAACAACATTTCTTTAATGAAATAATATTACACACAAATTCAAATTTTTTTCTTATTTTTAACCACACATTTCTCATCACTACACTATTCAAGAATTCATTCTCCCCCAAAATAGGGCTCAAACAAGGGCCTAATATTACAACATGTTCTTCCTAAAAGGGAAAGCGGTGTATGGAGAATGGGATCCCAGCCCTCAAAATATGTCCCATCGTCTCTATACAAAGCAGATGTTCGTGCTTTATATACGCATGACTTATTTAGCTCCAAGCCACAATTTTTTAGGGGAAATGTATTTTGAAATAGTGATTTTTTAAAAAATGTGGATTAAAAAATAAGAAAAAATTTTGAATTTACGTCTAAAATTATTCATAGGATAGTGTGTAGTTAAATTTTTTTAAAAAAAATGAATTTTGAGAAAAATAAGGCTCAAATAGAAGCTTAATAAGAGAAATTGTACAATGTTAAATCGCATTAAAGAAAAAAAGTTAAAATTTAATGCTCGACCTTTTTCATGTCCAACCAACTCTACCAGCCAGCATAACTCTCCGGTTATTTCAACATATATCTTCCATGTTTTGGTTGTATACGGGGTTGGTAAGTAGTAAGTACCAACTAAAAGGTGTGACCCTATTTATTGTGTTATTAATATGGCTATTTTCACATCTCAAAAATTAAGTTAAATGGTTAGGTTAGACTAAAAAGTTTCTTAAATATACTTTTATCTTTTTAATTTTAAATATGTCCAACTTGTTTTATTTCTTGCTTACTCATTTTGATAGTAATAAAGTAAATGTCACTTGGTTCAAGTTTGACCAAAAAGTAATACGACTATATTATTTATTACTTTATCTCAACTATTAAAAGAACGATTCTGTCTTGAGAAGAAAATATTGGAGCACTACTTATATAAAGAAATGTGGCCTAGCAAGCCGTTACAGATCTCTTTACATCGTCATTTAGAGTGAGTATTTAATTTAAAATTATCTTATTTACTTAAATCGTAATATTTATAAGCTTGACCAAAAATGTCATAGACATCTAAATCCCTGAAAAATACTACTCTTCTTTCAAGTGCTATTAATGCCTAGTACCCAATCTTCACCCCTCCCCCGGGGCCCACAATTCAAGATATATAGCCATAACAAGTTCTCTCCTCTCATTATACTAACAAAATCTCTTTCTTTATCCTCCAATGGCTCCCTCCGCCACCAATTGTTTCCTCCTCCTCCTTGCCCTCTCCTCCGCCGTGCACACTCATGCACGAGACAGCCAATCCTTCAACGAAATCCCTAGCACCACCAATTTCGTGAAAATTACACAAAGCCCAAACACTAAAAAAGCAGAACCCAACATTCAACAGCAAGAACCTAGTTTCCTTCCTCAAGATGAAAATGTTTACGGCCTTTATGGTCATGATTCCGGTCAGCTCCCTCATTCTACCACCACCGCCGCCAATGTTGAACCCGAAACCACCAAATATCGCCCCAAAAACTACAACCCTGTCTCCTATGTTACTGAACCAGAAGACATGACTACATTCACTGAAAAAAGTTACACTACAGGCCCTAACAGCAACTATGGTGGCGGAAACTTCAATGAGCAGCCTCAAGGGATGGGCGAAACAAGATTTATGGGCGGCTCAACCCCAAACCACCATGAGAATTACTACAGAAATGGCGGCGGTAGTTACTACAACAGCCCTCAAGAAAATGCAATGAGAGGATACAGAAGAAACAACTATTACAACAATGGAGGCGGTAGTTACTACAACAGCCCGCAAGAAAATAGCATGAGAGGCTACAGAAGAAACAATTATTACAACAATGGCCAGCCTCAAGGGCTGAGCGACACCAGGTTTATGGGCGGCGCAACCTCAAACCACCGTGAGAACTACTACAGAAACGGTGGCGATATGAACAACTTTCAACAGCAAGGAATGAGTGATACAAGATTCCTGGAAAATGGCAAGTACTTTTATGATATAAACAGTGAAAAATATAGCAGTAATCATCCATATGAGAGCTTGAAAGGAATTGGAGCAAGAAAAGAATACAGAAACAAGAATTATTATGGCAATAAAGCCAATAATGATAATTCATATGAATACAACAATTCCAAGGAAGAATTTCAGAATCAAGATGAGTTCCAAGAAAGCCAAGATGAAGAAATTATGCCGTGAAGATAATTGGGATCTTTGATAACGTGGATTAAACTGTAGAGAATAGTTAACATCTTGTCTATTCGATACAGTCTAATCATGTACCAAACATGCACTAAGTTGATGGATGATTCTCATGTTACGTTATGCTTAATTAATAGGAAAAGCAAAGAATTGTGTATGTGGAATGTTATAAAAAAATTTCAAGTTTTTTTCAAGATTTTATGAACTTTTGATTTTGTATTTGCGTAATTAATAATTAAATAAAATTATTGTGCAGTTATTATTTATTGTATGATTTACGTCCACACCCACCTATTTATGTTATATATTGATGCTAGAGAAATGTACTTGTTGGTGATTAAGTTTCATTTAAATAACACTGCTAAAAAGGTACATCAAGCTCGAGGTGGTGTTTAGATTTTCCAAACGAAAACTTAAAGCGTGGAAGTATTTCTTTGAGGTCACTTTAACGTACCTAATCAAGATAAATCTTATACAATTTTGAGCTATATATATAGTGCGTACGAATATATTTATCAAGTATTGTACAATTTTGAGCCACCATTCCCCCTTCCCAACTAACCCACCCACACACTATATGTATGTGAGAATAATGCAGAGTAGTGTGGTTAATCACAACCCACGTTAATTGACCTACCAAAAGGTGCAAATTTTGGAACATTAAATGGCATGGCTATTTTGGTTGATACATTTAAGGAAAATGTTAAAGAAAAGGACAATTTTTGTCCTTTGCAATTAAATAAGGTTTGTTGTATGATCCCAACACAAGTGAGAAAATTTTACGGTTTTAGATTTTGTTTGGTTTTGATTTTATTCTTTTAGTGAAATGTATACTTTAATAAATAAAGTGTTCGACATCAAACGTTCAGAGTAAAAGATCCTCGGCTAGAATTTTAATGAATTTTAAAATATTATAAATTTTAATGAGTTTCGTCAATCAAATAGATTTCCACATAATTCATAAGGATTCATTTGAAAAATGTTATTCTTATTCTCATCTTCATCGTGGTTTTGTTTATCTGAATTTAGGATGGGAATTTATCTATTTGTCATTTTCAATGGTGTAGTAGTAACATGTTCAGTATTTTATGCAGTGGACATTATCTAAAAATTGTTGACTAATATATTAGCTGGCAGAGAGGGACTAGAAAGCAAGTCGTGCAAGGCAGGCTATGTTTGATAGCCAAAGGTTTTCCATGGAACTTGAAAAATCAAATCTATTTTTCAACTTTTGTAGTGTTTGATATGATTTACTTTCCATGGAAAATCTTTTCCAATTTTGGGTGCCATCTAAACATTTTCCATGTAATTGAGGAAAATGATTACATGGAAAATGAGTTCTCACCAATTTCTCGGATATTGTAGCATTTTTTTTTTTTTTTTGCAATGAAAACAAATTTTAAAAATTATTTTAAAAAATATTTCTATTTAATCGACAATTTTCATATAAAACAAAAATAAACGAACACCAAAAGATAAATAATTTTATTGATTTTTTTTTTTGTTTTGACAATGAAAATAAATTCTATCCCTCAATATCAATAAATTTTATCCCTTTAATTGACAAATTTCATGTAAAACAAAGTCAAACGAATACCAAAAAATACTTATTTCAACATTTTCTCCGTGAAATTATACCAATCAAACACAATAAATTGACAATTCTCAGGAAAATAATTTCTATGCAATTCAATTCCCTAGAATTCGTTTTCTTTCCATCCAAATTTTATCTTTGCAATCAAAATCAAAATCAAACAATCAATATTAACCACATTTCATGAATTCTACAACTCTTCAACCACACATTACAAAAACTTCTATCACAATTTACTAAAAAATCTAATTTTAATCTCTACCAAACATCTTTTTACCAAGAACTATAATTGAGCCCTTATTTGAGCCTCATTTTTCTAAAATTCATTATTCTCAAATTCATTTTCAATCACACATTTCATGATAATTACAACTTTTCTACTATACATTTCATCAAAGTTTATCAAAATCTACTGAAAATCGAATTTTTATCTAAATCAAAGAGTGCCTAAATTTAGCCTCTTAAATAGTCTACCTACGCTAATATAGGTTAGGTTAAAACATGATCTCCAAATGTTCTTATTTTTTTTCTATTTCTCCTCGATAAAATGAAAGTATGAGATTTCAATATGGCACCGAAATTATACAAAAAAATGGGAACATGTAGAGATGCAAGAGTTTTTCATCATGTTTTGTTGTTGGGGGGGGGGGGGGGGGGGGGCCAAAAAAAAAAAAATAGAGGAAAAAAAAAAGGAAAAAAAAAGATGGCTCAAAATAGATAGAATGTACAAAGCACATGTAGCTGACACTACAGTTTTCAATAATCATGGCTTCGAGAGTTCCATCTACTTGTGGACCTCATCATTTTAATAGTTAAATCATTTGAGGAACACCATCAAGGGACAGTCTTTGACGAGCCAATTATCAAACCAAACTAATCCTAGTCCTATGGAGTTAATTTAATTACCTTAAACGATAAAAATCAAAATAATTCAGAGAAATCCGTGTACCAAACCCAATAATCACCAAGTAAATTGTTATAGTAGCAACATAGCTTTAGTTTCAAGATTCCTCAACAACATTCACTAACTCGTACTCAACCAGCGATAGATTGTTGTCCTCTTTGACCACAAATTCTGCAGGTTCAGTAACCTCGATGCGGCCCCATTTATCAACAGCTAGCCTCATGGACCCCTTGAACATGTCAATTTTTGCATTCCGAAGAATCAAGGTATTGCCTGGCTTCATCAGATCAACTGCAGGGAAACCAAAATAATTCATCAGTGATTGGCAGTGGAAGTGGAATTACATGTCTACAAAAAGTGTAAGAAGTTGATATGGTTGCGACAATTTAGTATCAAAATACCACTAGTACATAAAATTCAGATGAACTAAAGAGTCTTTCGACTATGCCGCCATATAGAATATTCGGTTTTGGCTGACATTTAAAGTAAAGTTGAAATAAAATAAAATAAAAAGGCCTGGAGAAGAAGACGTCTTCCAAGCTCATAACATCAGGGTGAAGAGATTGAACAATACCAAGAAACATCACATCCAACTGCCCACGTGAAGAGTAAAGAACAGAGGGGGAACAAAATAAGAAACCACAGATAGAATCTTCCAGGCAATTATAGCATTATCAGGTGGCTCAGACAAGAATGTTAGAGGAACATAAAAGCACCATATCACACAAATCTCAGGCATAAAAAACAGGACAAATATACATCTGCTAGTGCTATGTCAATAATATTCAGTTACATATGTCCAACGGCATTGAAGTAAAAAGGCATTGCAGATTTAACAATAAATAAATCCCTCTGTAAACCTCAAGACATTGATACATAAGCACAATAAAATAAATCAAAAAATATAAAAATACAGAAATATGCTGAATCTCAAAATTTTTGATTTTCATATCATGCTCCTCATCAGTATCAATTTACGGAAATGCTGCCTGCACAGGCTCTGTGCAACAGAGCCTGTACAGGCACACACACATGGGGTGGACCCCACATGTGAGATGCCCTGTACAGGCCCTGTGCAACAGGGCCTGTGCAGGTGGCATTTCTCATCAATTTATTCTTCTTGTTGTTTGACATCATCATTGAATTACAATAGCTTATTCTCCTCCTTCCATTTCAAGGCCAAAAAATAATAATAATAATAATAATAATAATAATAATAATAATAATAATAATAATAATAATAATAAAGAAAAAAAAAAAAGGGAAGGTTCTGTAAAAGCTATGCTATTAGAAAATAGCCTAAAAACCTGAGATCAATAATAAAAATTTCATAAAAGGAAATAGAAACAGGCACGCTTGAAGGCATTTAGTAAATCTCGAAAGTTGCACTTCAAGACATAAGCTTCATAAAATATTTTGAAACAATGCTCTTGATTAAGAACTATGAAGCATGCACACGGAGATGCAGTAGGACATGCCACAGAAGATTTTTCAGGGGAAAAAAAAAAAAAAAAAAAAAAACCCAACACATAGATTAAAATAATAATTATTATTTTATTTTTTTCCCTATTTTATGCCATGGAGCCTACTGTAGAGACTGGTTGCTTTTATTGATTTAGAAAAGAATCTACGATAAAATGACAGAAGAAGTGTCAAGGTAAGTGCCAAATAGAAGAAATTTCCATCATGCATGCCAGTATTAATTAAGATATGTATAGTACAGAAAGTTTACAACTTTGAAATGTATATATGGTAGTAGTAGAAATTTTCTATTACTATAGACTTGGATCAAGGTTTCATCATAAATCTTAAATCTTTTTAAAATCGTGGATGGGCTTATAGGGCATATCCAATATTAAATAAATTGTTGTGTGTAATTTGTTAAAGATATGATATCACTTGTTGCGGCTTTAAGGAAGATACATTGAAATAACCTTGGAAGAGCACTTTGGACCAATGCTAAATATGTTGGATAAAATAAAGAAGTGTTACAAATACACAAATTATACAAAGATACCTAGAAAGTTGGAAACTTCTATAAAACGGTAATTAGAAAACTTTGATTTAGGTACTGAGAGGCTGTCAAAAAATAACAAGTTCAGAAGATAATGCAACAAAATTAAAGTTGTTAAGATAGATGTGGGCAATGAAATAGATAAGAAGGATAACAAAAATATACACTAACAAAAAGTGGAACCAGGGGAAAAATAAATTAGGAGATGACTAAAATTAACATGTCTTGACATTGTTGGAAAACATAATTGCATTGGGTTCTCCTGTAGGCGGAAGACGTAGCTGTGGATCAAACAGAGTGACAAAAGAGGACTTGTGTGAGTGACTCCAAATTTATTTTTTCTTCTTTTTCTATTGTTAAAATGTCCACACAATGTAACCAAAACCTGAAATTTCTTTGCTTCTAGTCCACTGGCTCCAACACTGTTAATCAAGTGCAACTGAACTTAGCCATGCAGAACCACGAAGAAGAGCTTATTAAAGATTTTATTCACAAGTTAATTGAGGATTACAGCTTAAAAATATTTTCCAGCCGATTATTATGTAATATGTCAAGCAGCACTGTCCAGCTTCACGTTTAGATGAAACCAAACTCAAACCACAAAAATTAGTATCAATATCAATATCAATAACAATAACAATAACAATAACAATAACAATAACAATAACAATAACAATAACAATAACAATAACAATAACAATAACAATAATAATAATAATAATAATAGAGACCGATACAGAGAGTGATGAGACCTAGAAATGCCCAAAGAGATGAAGTTTACTGAAAAAGAAAAAATATCCATAGAAATAGCAAATATTTGACACTGAAAGGTGAATGCATATTTATATGCTCGCTAATTTACAGCTCGCGCTTAATCACAATTACACAAAACTAAATCAGATCACAAGTGCCAAAATTTATACAATTTGAGCCAAAAAAATTCCCAAAAAAATAAAATAATTCAGAAATTCAACTATTCTTCCCCCATAAAATTTCACAATATATTCAGTTTTATAAATGCAAAAATGTTTCATTTATCAGCATTTTTAGCCAATTAACAATTCTCCCCGACAATAAATAATTAGCACGAAACAGTAACCCCTAAAAAAATATATATTAACACACGATTTTGCGTGAAGGAGAGAGTGGCGAACGGACCTTGGTTATTACGGGCAGTGAAGAGGATGGTGCCCGTTTCGTCGCCAATGAGGCACTCCGCGATACGAGTATTCTGGTTCTGGGATCCACGGAACGACATCGTATTCCGGGGCTTCTTGCTGAGTACTGTGTTGGAGCTCAATATTTTCACAATCAGTGTGTGGCCATTTGTCCCCGGCTGTAAAGAATCAACCTTAACAAACACCGGTTTTCTTAACCCTGAGTTGCTGTTCTCGTCTGTGACGCTGGCGGCGGATTGTTCCGATGATTTCAACGAACCTTTGGTTGCCATCGGCGGAGAGAGTGAGGGGTTAGAGATTTGGGGATTTAGTTATCGGGTTTTGTGAGTTAACGGGGTGGAATTGAAAATGAGAAACCCTAGGCCTGATTTCTAAAATGAAAAAGGGGGAATATGTTAAAGAGATTAGCCAAACAATCTTATTGGTTATAAAACCTCCTTTCAATATTTTTTGAACAAATAACCTTCAATTATTAGGCACAATAAATAAATAATGTCAAATGTCATAAAGACACTCATTATTGGAAAAAGACCCTAACACCCTTATCAATCTAATTAAATTCCCCAATTTAATTTTTGGTCCTCAAAATCACAGTAACCCGATTTCTTCTCTTCAACCATTCTTGCTACTCTAAAATCATATTCTTCATTATATTCTTCACCTATTTGAATATCTTTTGAACATTTATCATCTATATTAAAAGATCTCATTTAGATTTGAAGAAAGAAGAAAGATAATCTTAGAAATCTTATATAAATTGTACATTTATTATTGAATAATATTTAAATTGGTATTGTTTTTATACTTATTATGTTATTTTTTTGCGTTTTCTGCAATTATTGGATGGTAATGACACTCAAACTGTTATCCAAAATGTAAAACGTCACTTTAATCGTTTTTCGCTGCGCAAAACGGCACTACAGTCGTTATCTACTGTGATTTGATTTTTTTTCAACGAAACAATCTCTAATAATGAACCACTGACATAGATAACATAGAAAAATTGACAATGTCAAAAAGAAATATTGAAATGACATAGTTTTTATATTATCAAGATAGTGAAATCATAAGTTGTCCTACTCATATGTGTCGATTAAATTAATGAGCATATTTATCAACTTTTGTACATATCATGTGCCTATCACAATATAAATAAGTACAACTTATTATTTTTTAGGGACACCTATGAATCGTAACTACTTATAGTCATGTTTACACATGTAACAGCACATGTGTCGTTTTCATGTCCAGTAACGACACTTATACCGTTCAGAAGTTTTTACCTATATTTAATCATGTTCAATTAAATAACATCTAATAACGAAGTCCATAATGTATACAACATAAAAAAGTTGACAATATCATAAAGAACGATTGAAATGACATATCTTTTATATTATCGAAATGGTGAAAGCACAAGTCATCCTACTCATATGCGACGGTTAAGTTAATAAACATATTACTTAACCTTTATACATTTCATGTACATATTATAATGTAAACAAGTTTCACTTATTATCTATTGAGACACGAATGAGGCATGACTGCTTGTATTCGTATTTACAAATAGAATGATACAAGGGTCGTATTTTCTTAATAAAGGAACTTATGTCGTTCCGTTGAATTCTCCAATATTTTGATTTATTTTCAAGATAAAGACATCAAGCATTGGACCATCTAACATAAATAAAATGAAAAGGTTATTCACATGACAAAGAACGATTGAAATGATATAGATCATGTGATATCAAATTGGTGAAAGTATAAATTATTCTACTCATTAATTAAAATATAAATAATAAGCATATCTCTCGGCTTTTGTATATTTCATGCTCATCTTACAACTTAAAATGAGTTCAGCTTATTGGTTCTCGGAGTCTTGAACAGGACGTGGCCGTTTTATAATCGTGTTTACAAACAAAACAACCCATGGGTCGTTTTCTTCTCAGTAATGGCACTTATGCCATTCTGTTGATTTCTTTTATATTTTAATTTATTTTAAACTCTAAACTTCAAGCATTAGACCCACTAACGCGCGTAAGATAGAAACGTTAATCATGTGACAAAGAATGATTTAAATGCTTGGATTATATGATATTGAGTTGATAAAAAACATAAGTTATTCTACTAGTTCATTATAATATAATTAATGAGCATATCTTTCAACGTTTGTAAATATCATGTCCATCTTACAACCTAAATGAGTTTAACTTATTCGTTCTTTAAGCATGGATGGGTCGCGACTTCGTATAATCGTGCTTATAGACAGAATGACACAAGTGTCGTTTAATAGTTCTTGTATTGTTCTATTGATTTCTCAAAGATTTTGCATTTTTTTCAACGCAACAATCTCAATCATGGATCACATAACTTAAGAAAGTTATAAAGGTTGATCACGTGATAAAAAATGGTTGAATTGAAATAGATTATACGACATTGAGTTGGTGAAATCACAAGTCATTGTATTGATTCGTCAGAAAATATAATTAATAAGCACACCTTGTAGAACCTCAAATAATTCTAGACACTTTAGTGGCACTAAGACATGAATATTAGATAACTAAAGTACACTTCAGATTTTTAGTCTCATTTGAGACCCATTTTCGATATAGGAAACATTCGATTTGGAAAATGATATCTAAATAAAAGTTGTAGCTCTTTGAGTTAGCTTTCCAACACACTTTGAATTACCTCAATCGGAAATCAGGAGAAGAAGTTATGATAGAAACACTGAAAGCTGTGCAGTGTCAACTAGACTACAACCGGTCGACCGAAATGCCTGAAATGAAAATTCTCGTTTTTCTCTAGAATTTAAATATTTATTTTCATCAATTATTTTCTCAAAGGGCCAACCAAATTTTTGGCAATAAAAACTCCACTAAATTGAAGCATTTAACCTCAAAGTTAAATGACACTCATGTTTTCTCTCTTAAATGAAATTTGACCCTTCATTTGTTTTAAGTTATGTGATATTTACCTATAAATAGAGACCTCGTTTCACTCATTTTTCTCACACCAAAAGCAAGAGATTTTACATACTAAAAATAGAGTTTCCAAGAGAGAAAAAGAGAGGGAGGAAAACTATTTTTCCTACAAGTTTAAGAAGTGTTTTCAAACATTTTTCATAGAAGTTTTGGGTGCTATCAAGGAGTGTATTCAAGCATCAATTCTCAACGGTTTTCAAACATCCAAGGAGTGCATTTTTTTAACGTCCAAGTTTCATCGAAATTTTCAATCCAAGTTTTCAAAATTTCAAAAGTATCAATCAAGGTAGG